AAACTGTGACAATAAACCACCATATTATCTCTTTTAGGTTTTTATTAATTTAATTGCGTCTCCTTTATGACTTAGTGCCTTGTTCCAGGATCTTTTGTATCAAAACTAAACCATTTGATCCAGTGGCACAAAATAAACTGCACTTTTATCAATTGATGATTATTTTTTCTTCGTCTTATTTCGAAAACTAAAAAAACAGTTTTATTGTGACCTGAGGCTGAGCGCATTGTAAAACTTCGTCCATGAAAGTCCATGAACACTTAGTAATTGGTTTTTTTCATGATAACCAAATTGGTTACTTGGCATTATCCACTAAATACTAAAACTTTTTAATATAATTTCTGAAAATGTCAGCAAGTCATTTCTGTGGCGATAATTCAGTTTTGACACAGCGTTTTGGATTTTTGGCCTGGTTTGACTAAACCATTTTTTCGTGACTATAAAAAAGGGTTGATGATGAACCGTTCTGAGCATCTTGTTGTTCCGACTTTTGATACGAATGTAAAGGAATATTTGTGCTCGGGGTGGGTTTTTTTTCTTCAGACAAATTTCGACTTTTTAACTAGCCATTTTTGACGGATTTTTTTTTATATCATTCGAAAGATATTGTTGTCCTGAGCTCAAATTTGAAAAGATATTTTACCTGTGATCAATTATCGTAAAGTTACGGGGGTTTAAAGTTTGCCATTTTGGCCAATTTGAAACAATTAACGCGCGATATTTTTTGCGCTATTAACGCGTAAGCGGAGAGTTAATCCGTCTTAGAAATCGTTCCAAATTGGTTGAAAGAAGCTTATTTGCCATAATTAATTTGTCACAAGGAGCGAAACTCATCCTTTTGTTTTTTAAATGGCGTGTGGGGTGATGATTTTCAAAAAATAAATTCAAAATTTAGAGAAAAAAAAATTTTGTTTTATTTTATTGCATTTAATTTTTTAATGTTATTACTGCTCCATAAACCTTAGAGGGCAGTCGGAACATCCAGAACTTCGCCCTGATAGGAGCAGTTTTGTTGTTCCGACTTTCGATACGAAAGTAACGGAATACTTGTGCTCGGGTGGTTTTTTTTTCTTCAGACAAATTTCGACCTTTTAACTAGCCATTTTTGACAAAATTTTTTAAAAGGCATTGTTGTCCTGAGCTTAAATTTGAAAAATATTTCACCTGTGATCAGTTTTCGTAAAGTTATGAGGCTTTAAAGACCAATTTGGGACAGTTAACGCGCGATATAATTCGCGCTATTAACGCGTAAGCGGAGATTTAATCCGTCTTATAAATCGTTCCAAACTGGTTGAACGAAGCTTATTTGCCATAATTGATTTGTTACTAGGAGCGAAGTCTATTCTTTTGTACTTTATATGGCGTGTGGGGGGATGATTTTCATTTAAAAAATTCAAGTTTTAGAAAAAAAAATTTTCGTTTTCTTTTATTTCATTTAATTTTTTAAATGTTTTTACTGCTGCTCCATAAACCTTAAAGGCGGTCGAAACACTCAGGGTTTCGCCCTGATACGAGCAGTCTTGTTAATTTTCGAAAAAAATTCTTCTAGCAGTTGGTTCACGCTGAATTTGACTGTAGGCAGCAGTGAAAATAAATCTATTTTTTAAAACCTGTATTGCGTTTAATGGTTCTATCAAAAATGGGTTAACTCTACAATTTTTGTTCTACCCATTCTTTCAGTGATGAAAAAAAAATGTTTTACATTTTTTTCTGAACTCTTGTCTTCTAGGGTTTCTGGCTTTTTGCTTCAAATTGCTTTTAATTTTTTGTACGGTGTTGCTAGTTCCTACTTGAGATATCTCTCTGCTCGAGTTTGTGGTTGGCGCGAAATTTATCTAGAGTTTACCTAAGCGGGGTAAAATATCGTTGCCCGAATGATTTCGTTGTTCTATCTGTCAAATAGAACTTCTCCTTGTTGGGTTTGCACCCAGTTGATTGTAATTTGAGTGATACTCTATCAAAAAAGTTAATGATAACTCTAGTTCCTGGATATGCTTTTAAGTAATTTTGTCTAACTTTGTCTAATGAATGGTTCAATTCAATTTTTAGTTTGTGAAGCAATTCTTTCTTCATGCACAATACTGGATTTGCTGAGTGAAGTTTTTTTTTCGATTTTGGACGATGTATTTTCTACAAGTTGCACTTCAAAAATCTTCTGAACCTTTTGGCTTTCATATGAGAAGTATGAGGATATTGATTTTTTATGATTTTTAATTTTTCCAGGATGATACTAGTTTTGGATTTTTTGTCGACTGCCTAAAATCTAAAATCGTCCTTATTTACTACAAATTGTGATCGCAACCAAGATTTTTTTGTTGAATGTTTGTTTTGGTTTTCTAACACGTTTTGATTGTCCTGACTTTTGTTTGGTCTCCAGTCGTACTCTGCAAATTGTCCTTTCTTGCCAGAGATATAACATGTTTTGTTCTTGCTGGGCATACTCCAATGCGTTCTTTCTCTAACTGTTTTCCGCCATTTTTGCTTTTCTGATTCTCCAATTTTTTGAGGGTTGGTAACGTAGCAGATCTTGTTCGAAAAAAACACAACCGGAAATTTTAATAATGGTGGTGAATTTTAGTGCCTTTCTCATGTTCTAGTACATTTGTCTCGTTATTTTCTGGTGTTAGCTATTCAATGGAAAATTTCTTCCGTACTTCGACATTGCTTTCTTTGGTTAGGAACATATCTCTCACAAGTTGTGTTTCCAAACATTCAAGACTGTTTTTTATCTAATTCTGTAAGATTTTATTGGAAATATTCAAGAAAATTACTATCCTATAAAAGTCTACTTTCAAACATTCGCAAATTTTGGGGGAAAAAATTATTTCCGATTTCGTGTTTTTAGTGTTTTTATGAGCGAAGCATTTTTGTCACTCTTTCCCTATTGCTTGATAAAATTATTTGTAGTTTTCATGCCTATGTGTCTCTTGGTTAGTTTCCAGTGAGTTTTCTTCGTACTTCCTGTCTTCGTCTTCTGATATCTTAATTGTAGTTGTTCAGCAGTGCTGTATATTTTGTTTTGACAGGTACCAAAAACCATGGTACTTAGCTTTCTTTTGCATTGTCACGCAAACTCGCAACTTGGTTCGCGCAAAACCTCAACATAGTTCGCGTAAACCGCAACATATCATTTTGGGTGTAACGCTGCAACATACCATTTTGTGACTTTGGAAACATCATTTTGCTTGTTTGCAAAGTCGCCCAAAAATACTTTGTTCGCGAAAACCACACTATGTTTTTTTGAGTCACGCAAAGTTTAAAAATACTTTTTTTGAGTCGCACCGGTCACGATGATCGCATCATAACCAATTTTAACCGGGATGACTAGCTCACTTTTTAGCCTTAATTTAAGACGAAAACTTTAAATGACTAATATTCTTTTTTGCAATTTGCAATAAGGACATCTGTAATACAATTTCAAATAATATTTCATTTCGGCCTAACTCTAAACTTTCCTATTTCCTTTGCACGATTAAAGGAGACGAACAAAAAGACCACAAAAAACTGTGTTCTCATTTTTTTAAACTGCCAATAAAAGCAAGAAGAAGATAATGTTTAACTTGATAGTATATTGAAATTTCAGTCCGCCTCCTTTTTAATTCATTGCCATGTCTTCTTTATGACATTGAAGTTTTCACTGGCCTCAATGTAATTGATTCGCTGAACAAGGGAAGCTCTAAAAGAAATTTTTTTCATATGTGGGTTGCATGATTTTTCATGTTTGGTAGATCTGTACTAATGTATTGAATTTTTTGAAATCGTTCGTTTTATTATACTGAGATCACCACTAAATATGCGGCGGCTTAGTAAAATCACCTTTCAAATCAAAAACGAATGCGTTAGCATTACATTAACAATCTCTTCGGGCTAAAAGCTTGAAAAGAACTGAGACAAGCTGAATAAATTGCATGTCAATGTGCTTCATTATTTTGATTGGATCTCGCACAAAAGCGATTAGATTTGGCGCAAACCCCAGAAAGAAGTGCTGCTATTTCACATTCTAAATACCATTTGCTTATTTTGCTAGATTTTACCTTTTCAGCCCATGAATGCAGGTAAGTGGACCTAATTTTCGACGTTTTTTTGATGATAAAATAGCTGAAAGGTTTTCTTGACCCTTGTATCAGTTTTCTAAACAATTTCAAACGTTTTTATCATCACTTTTTCCAACGTTTTTATCATCACAATTTAAAAAAATGGTATTCAAAAATTCATTAATCCATAATTTTTAGGGTCAAAATTTTGGCGTCAAACAGTTGAACTAATTTTTTTTAGCGGAGGCCGTTTCAGTGTTGACAAAAACTGATATAAACTGGAAGTTTTCTTTGACAACCCTTTTTAACTTCAGAAACCAGTTGGATAGAATTAGTTGTTTTAAAACTGCGTTTTTAAAACTGTCAGACAGTTCCGCAGTTACAAAAATATTCATAAACAAACAATAAACTTTGCTTTCTTTTTGCTGTAAGACCAGTCTTTGCACCAATTTATTAATTTTTTTATGATGTCAATCGGAGATGAATTTATGCTTCATGCTGTCAACCGTGGAACTAACAAATTCCCTAGCCTAACAAACTAAAACTGAGTTATTATTTAGTAATCAAAGATTTACGACCCTTCATTGATTTATTACATGACTTTTAGGACCCCATTAAAAACATGTTCTTTTTCAACTAAACCCTTAATTTATGTTTCTACTTTTTCAGAAATTCTAAGAGATAACATTTTTTCCGCTCTTCGTGAGCTTAAATATTTGTAAACCGCCGCAAGGTTCGATCGTTTCACTATTTAAAAGGACAATCATACATTTGGAGTACCTGAAGGCTTAACATGCGAGGGTGTATTTCACAATCAAGCCAAAAATCTGGCCACTGGAGCGAAGGTATGAAAAAATAATGAAACTTAAAGGTTCCCAGAGGAAAGAAAGGAAGTCGCAAATTCCTCCCTTGGCTTTTTATCACACCTCAATCACACCGCATAGATTTTTTTCATCATGCAATAATCGGACAGCAATTTGGCCTCAAAGTCAATTTATTATCGGGAGAAGTGACCGCAGTTTTAAAATTTAAAGACCCAAATAAGCCCAAAAATCGATTGAAAATGGATCCCAACTTCCGTTTTTTTTCAGAATATTTTCAAATATCTTAATTTTACTGTCTCAGTTTCTAATTCACTAGACTAGCAAGGATCAAAATTCATGATTAAAGCCTTTCGCGCCGCATTCTTGATAACCTGCTATTTGAAAGTGGCAAGTCAGAACTAAACGAGCCATTGTGACTAACAACAGGAATTCAAGGTAAGCGGTTTGTTTCAAAATCACCCTAATTGAAGTCGAGTCCCTTTTTGTAAGATTGTACAAAAGTCTGAGTGATTCAAGCATTTTAAAACTGTAAATATTTTGTGAAGTTTTTCGATATTTCAAGTCTTTTCAAGTTTTTTATTGATATTTTTAACGAGGACCCGGTTTTTAAGGAACTCGTTCATCTATGCGTTCAATTGTAAGAACAAAAACACTCTTCGTTTTTTTTAGAAGAATCTTACAAGCAGCTCTATTCTGAAGCAATCATGTCTCAGTTGCGCTTCTATCTATCTCGACGGGAGTTTACCGCTTTTTTTTAAATCTCGACTAACGTTTTTTTTGAACTTTGCTATTCAGTTTGAAAAAATCTGTGTGATGATTATTTGTTTTCCTGAGAGCCTCGATATAAAATACAGAAAACGTTCGAAAGGAAGTGCTGGTGGCTATGACCTAGCATAAACGAATCGGTAAGCTGAGTGCGAAAGTTAATTATATTTCATTTAATGAAAAATCTATCATATTTTGCAAAAAAAATCAGCAATTTTCCATCGATTATTCACTACTGTTATGGTATTGTGATAGCTACCTATGATCAAAGTTAAAAACGCACTGAATAGAGTTTGATGCAGCAATGCTGAAAAATACTGTCACCACTCCGAGACAAAATCTTTCTTATATTTCTTCTTCTTTTTCTAAATCCGAGAGTATATAGCCAGTAAAAAATAGTTTACTAAACACTGAAGAGCTTAGCTATTGAGCTATCCTTTGACAGATTTTCGACTCTTAAAAATTAATCTCATGGCTGTCCTGATTTTATGTATTGTGCTGAATCTCGGTCCTGCTTTCGATTTTGTTTTTCTCTAGAAATAGGATCGATGTCCAAACTGATGGTTCCTTGAAAACTTGTTGTGTACCAAAGTTAGTATGATTAGTATCTGTAAGTTAGGCCCAGAACTATTTGGATGGTTTCTAAAATCCACGGCAACTTTTTTCCGGATCCAAGGCATTTATTTTTGTTACTTAATGGATTATAGTGGGTTATAATAGATTTTCATGTGTGAGAGCCTACATTTTCCAAAACCTTGAAAATAAATATCCAAAACTTGAAAGTTGTAATCACTTAGTTGTCTTTTACGTTTGGCTACTGCAAAAAATTGTATGATTTTAAGCTTGTTTTCTTATTTCTACTTGTCTCATCTTCCCCCATAAATAATTGCGTTAACTCCCATCGTTCTTACTTACTTCCTTTTCTACTACTTGCCCTCCCCCACCGCTTACCCCTTTCTTTTACTAACCATAAAATCCCTACACACATCTTTAACCCCCCCCCCCTAGAGACCTTAACGCTTCCACCCCCAAACTTAACTTACGGGGGGTGTCAAGTAGTTGAAGGATGGGGAGGCTAGGTGTGTGCGGGGTAGGCTAGGTGGGGTAGGTCGGGGGATAGGTGGAAGTAGGTGTGCGGAATTAATTTGAAAATGTGGGGGATGGGGAGTGGGTAGGTGTTTGTGAGTTTGGGCGCGTTCCACTTGTGTGTTTAAATTGTAAAAACTTGGGTTTAAAGTGCGAGGGATGTGATTTGCAGAAAAAACTACAAATCATAATGGACTTTAAAAGGATTAAAATCAATTGAATTTTTCTAAAAATTCAGGATTCAAATGGACTACACGCGATTACGTGCAATTATAATCGAACATAATGACAAAACTTTAACCCCGAAAGTCGACTACACGCGGTCCTAACGTGCAATTATAATCGAACATAATGACAAAACTTTAACCCCGAAAGTCGATTGTAATCGAATATTATCTGTTGAACCTCGCTGCGGGTCACTTTGCTTCTATTGCTTTCTTTTATCCAATTACTAGAAAAGTCACATCAGATATATTGCCATTTTTCGGAATACTTTTTTCATCGAGTGATCAGTTTTTTTTCAGAAATTGTCTGCAATATTTATCAAAGTGTGCCCCACTTCATTGAAGATTTCTTGCAAAATTTAAAGATTATGCGTAATTTTTTGAAGAGTCAAAGTATGAAAATGCTGATGTAAACTAGCCATAGGTCTTCAGGATTATTTTTGTCTTTGAAGTGCGGGTTGTTTTCAACCCCTGCCAAAATGCCGTACTTTTGATACAAATTCATGCAATGTTTTTGATCTTCAATTGTTACAAATCTGAAAATAATAATCTCGATGGTCAGTTTTAGGTATGCGTTGTAGATATAAACAATTTGAAATCAGTATGGCAATGATGGTGAGTGAGAACAAGCTCTCTTTTGACCAATTAAAAGTCACACGCAAAATACGACTTGGAGTCAATAAAAAAGGAGCTTGGCTCGACAAAACAACTCAGTTTAAAATGCGAAGAAAAAAATAAAAGGACTCAGCTTAGACAGGCTGAAAAGCCTTTCATGATCTTCCGAACGCCTCCCCCCCCCCCCCCTCAGGGATTCGACCCCCTGCCGACCCAAAGGGTCCACCCTTTGATACTTTTTAAGAAATCCATTTTTGGCGACCTTTTATATATATACTTTGCTATTATATCGGAACATTACTTATAACTATGCATTATGAGGCTAGACTGTAGCATTGCAAACAGCTATCCGACGTCATTGAAAACACATCTTGTGACGGAAACTGAAAATGTCAATTTTTTAACTTAAAAAATGAAATTTTTAATTTGTATTGCATTTTGTAAAATTAAGGGCTTCTCAAAATTGCCATTTTGGGCTAAATAATGCGCACTTTGCATCATTGTTCGGTGCCAAAGTGCTTCTGCATCAACAAATTTATTCCATGTTAAATTAAATTGGCTGACGCAAACTAAGCCCCCATTGTTTTTCAATGCAGTACAGAATTATGAGAACAGACTCTGAGCGAACTTATTGAACAATTTGTCTTCTCTGTTAAATGGACCAAATTTATTAAACTCTTAATAGAGCTTTAATTTTGTTTGATAAACTAGAATTCTTTCCGCTGATTTTAATTTTAATCAATCAAGTTCGAGCAATATGATCAAACTTTCGAAAAAGCAAAAGTATTAACTTTTGGTTTGTACAACAGAAATTCTGTCGTACCGTCCAAGGACCCGAGACAATTTATGAACTAATCGAGAGAAACTTTCAAAATTAACTCAGCTCACTTCGATAATTGCTCTCAATGTTCTTTTTGCGAGTTTCTTTACAGTTTTTTTATTGTTTTCTTAGAGAAAATGGCATAAACGGTACTTCATTAAAATTTTTGCTATTTTTGGGCCCATTATTCCAACACTTCTATTAAGGCACTCCAATTATGTTCGGCTTCCATACCCAGAACCAAGTTAAGTAGGAAAAAAATTGAATTTTTTCAATTCAAGTTTTTCTTATAGACAATTGTCCAACTTTTGAAAAAACAAAAAGTTCTTATTTAATTTAAATGTACAGTAACGATCAAAGTTCTTGCTTTTTTCACAGTTTTCTGTTTTTCAAAATTTCATGTTTGAGTGTTAGATAATTCTTACTATTTTGGTTTTCGTCATGTTACTTACAGAAAAGGGAACAGAATTCGTAAATCAAGAATTATCACCTGATGCCATTTAAATAAAAAATCAGATCATGTAGATCCTGAGCCCCATGGACTACTGAATTAGTCAAAAATATGGACTGCTATTTACGAGAATACCTCCGATGTTTGATTTTTGATGAAGAAAAAATACCAAGAACGGTCAAAATGACACAATTTATTTCAATATGCGTATTATTTACTTATCACGACTACATTGTGGTTATTGCTTTATGATTTTGTTTTAAATTAAACATCAGATTAACAATTACAAGCATAACAAAACTGCTCGTATTAGGAAGAAGCCCTAAATGTTCCGACTGCATTTTAAGGTCTATGGAGCGGTAATAACATGAGAAAATTCAATATATAAAATTAAAGTTAATTTTTTTTATTTGAGGTTTTTGTAGTTGTAACAAACCAATTTTAGCAAATAAGCGTCCCTCAAACAGTTTGGAACAATTTTTAGACGGATTAAATTTCCGCTTACGTTTAAATTGCGCGAAATATATCGCTTGTTTATTGTCCCAAAATGTCCAAATGGCAATATTTAAACCCCCATAACTTTACGAAAATTGATCACAGGTAAAATATCATTTCAGTTTTAGGCTCAAAACAACAATAACTTTTGAACGATACAAAAAAAAACGTTGTCCAAATTGGCTAGTTAAAAAGTCAAAATTTGTCTCAAGAAAAAAAACCTACCCCCAGCACAAATATTTCGTTACATTCGGTACGAAAGTCGGAACAAAAAAAATTTTAAAAAAAACTTTAAAGTTTGACATTTTTTGTGAAAATGATCACACCACACCCCATATAAAAAACAAAGTGATAGATTTTGCTACTATCAACAAATCAATTATTAATTACGGTCTACCCAAACAAACAGAGCGAATTTTTCTGTCACTAAAGCATTCTGAGACTAGCCTCAAGCAGTTAGACAGAAATTCAAAAAAAAAAGAAATTAGCATTCACAGTCTAGTACACCGAAAATTTACCAAATAAAAATATTTACAAAAAGAAACCACAAAATTAGAATCAATGTCTAAATTCACCTTTCCATCAGAGCTCACATACCAAACTTTGCTTATACCAAACTGGAGGGGATCGCAAAATCTCACAACTCACAAATCGAGGGAATCATAAAAACAGAAGGAAAATATAATTAACAAACTAAGTGATGACTAAAATACAACCCAAAATTACACCACTACACTCCAATTAACCAATTTAAATTAGAATTTGACTTTGAATGTGATACACCTTCCAACACATAATGTTAACTTTTTTTAACCGAAAAAAAATAATTCATCACTTTGAACAAAAAACTCTTTCAAAGTAAAGCTGAATATTTTTGTCAACATAACGTCAGTCTTTCATCTCCTTCATTATAATTTAGAACATTTTGATCAAAAGCTGAAAGAATGCCCAATGATATTTGAGCCACATATTGCAAACT